GAGGACAGGGGGCGGGGGAGGGGCAGTGAGGCCCTTGTCCTGCGCAGGCCCAGAGGCTCCCCGCAGCCTGGCCTTGAGAGCAGCCCCACCCCCACCTCTCACCTTGGCCAGGCTGGGGGGGTATCTGCCTTTGAGCGGATCTTCCTTCTTCAGAGACCGCACCAGGCAGGAGCGGCGGTGGGAGAAGGTCATGAAGCTGTACTTGCCGTGGTAGCTGGCCGGTTCCGGCGCGCCCCCTAGTGTCCACACCGGGAACAACACAGGGAGCGCCCAGGATGAGTGGAGTCCCTGCGATGGCACCAGAGGGTGTGCCCGGCCCGGGGCCTCTCTCAGGGCCTCCGTGAAACAGGCCACAGGCGACCTTCAGGGCCCTCTAGGGTGTCAGGTTAGTGTGGCTGATGGAGGTGCAGGCAGAGGCCAGAGGGCCGCACGGGAAAGGGATGGGAGTCTGGGGCCCAGGACTGCTCCGGCCCCTCCTCAACCCCCAGGCCAGGGCTGGGAGGGACGCTGCGGGGAGCAGGTGGGCAGTGAGCTCCCCCAGACTCACCCACACCCCCGAAGGGCAGAGAGTGCACGGACAGGTGGACGATGACGTCATTGGCCGTCACCCCGCCGCTGGATGTCTCCGCAATCATCTTCTTAATCACCTGCAGGGCCCCCAGCCCGCCTCAGTCTCCTGCCCCGCACACCCCCCCCTCCCCCCGGGCTGGCACAGCCTGGAGCTGAGCGCCAGGGGCTTCTCGCGCTGGTTGATGAACCGGATGGCCTCCTCCAGGCTGCGCACGCACACGATGGGCATGATGGGCCCGAAGATCTCCTCCTGCATCACCGGGGACTCGGGGTCCACGTCCGTGAGGATGGTGGGGGCTGGACAGGAAGCCAGCAGTCAGCCCCGCCCAGACCCCCGCCTGCCTGCCCACCGGGCACCTGGCTCCCCCCTTGACTCCTTTACTGGTCCGGCCGCTGCTACCGAGGGTTCGAGAGGGGCAGACAGGCCTCCGGGCTCCAGCCCCCGGACCTTGGGAGGAGGGGCTAATTGTATGGAAGGGCCCAGGGCCCAGGCCTGAGGGGACAGGGTGCCTCCCGGCCACCTGAGCCCCTGCTGAAGCTCCTCTGCCCCCTGGCAACCTGGAGGCCACGTGGGCCTGTCTGGTGGTCCTCACGCCTCGGCCCCTGGGCCCCTCCAGCCCTGCCCCCGGCCTCCGGGGCGCTGCTGTCACACCCCTGCTGAGGCCTTGCGGGGAGGGGGCCGCTGGGCTGGGCCAGCTGTCACCCGCCAGAGAGCAGCAGAGCCCACCCAGTCCTGCTGCCCCTCCGCGGGGTTGTCTGCTCTCCCAGTATCTGCCACTCGCTGCCACGCGCAGGGCCCCTGGCAGCCTGGGCGGGAGGGCAGTGCCCGCAGGGCACACACCTATGTACCGGGTGGCCGCGTCCCCAGTGCCTCCGTAGGCGACCTTCTGGCCCTCCAGCAGGCCCATCACCCGCTGGAAGTGCCGGGAGCTCACGATCCTCCCGTAGTCACGAGACTTCTGGGCATCGTCCCCGTAGAACTCCTGCGGGCGGGAGGCGACGGGCTTCAGACAGGGACAGGGGCCTCGCCACAGCCGAGGCCGCAGGCGGATGGCGGCCGGCCTGGGGGAGCACGGGGCGCCTGGCTAGTGCTGTGGACGTGCCGTGGACGATGCACCAGGACACCAAGCCCTGCCGGCCGCCGCCGTTTTCAGGGCACGGGCAGCGCTAGCACCCGGGGGGCGTCGCGTCAGGAGCAGCTGTGTTCACAGAAAGGACCGCGGAAGGGAACGGACACCCCATCGGAGACAGCTGTCTGGGGCAGCAGGATTCTGGGGGGACATTTCCCCCTCTTTATGCTTTTTTAAAAAAAATATATTCTATTGATTTTTTACAGAGAGGAAGGGAGAGGGATAGAGAGTTAGAAACATCGATGAGAGAGAAACATTGATCAGCTGCCTCCTGCACGCCCCCCACTGGGGATGTGCCCTCAACCAAGGTACATGCCCTTGACCGGAATCGAACCCGGGACCCTTCAGTCCACAGGCCGACGCTCTATCCACGGGCCAAACTGGCCAGGGCCTCTTTATGCTTTTTAATCTTTTTCAAAATTATCTACAGAGCGTGGATTACGTTTATGATCAGGAAAAAATCCAGGTTTCTAAAGTCCACACCCACCTGGCCACCGGCCGCCTCGCCCCCAGGGCCGCACTCACCTTCACGGACTTTTTGAGCTTCTCCACGACCTGGCTCTGGATGGAGGGGTCGCAGAGGATGTAGTCGGGGGCCACACAGGTCTGGCCGCTGTTCATGAACTTGCCCCAGGCGATGCGCCTGCGGAAATCCCAGGTCAGACCGTATTCTCAGCCCGGAGGCTGCCCGGCGCTGGCGCCCTGTCCCTTCGGCTCAGGGTCAGGACTCGGGCAGAGCGCAGGTGTGACTTCCAGCAGAGCCAGCCGTGGCTTCCAGGTTCTGGGCTGAGGCGCCGCCTGTCCCTGGACATGCCCCCAGGGCCCAGGTCCCTGCACATCTTTCCCTCATCAGCGAGTGCAGGAGGTTTGGGGGGGAAGGGGGGTTAACTGGGCAGTCAGCCCTTGTGCCCCGCTGTCTTGCTCTTGAGCCCTGCCAGCCGGGGTCCCCACCTGGAAGGCGAGGCACGTGGGGAGGGGGGGCGGGGAGAAGCTGGGCAGAGCCCTGGCTGGACCTCTCCTCTCCTGCCTTCCTGGGCTGGCGGCTCCCCCTTGGCCGCCCAAGCTCCGGCCCAGGCCTACAGGCCCTAAGTGCAGGGGCATGTCTGTGTCGCTCAGAGCACAACTGTGGTCTCTGGGAGCCGGGAGCAGTCAGAATGGCCGCTCCAGCTCAGACGCTGAGCCCCTCACCGGCAGGCGACGTCCAGGTCACAGTCCTTGTCCACGTAGCAAGGGCTCTTCCCGCCCAGCTCCAGCGTGACCGGGGTCAGGTGCTTGGCCGCGGCCGTCATCACGATCTTGCCGACACCAGTGCTGCCCGTGTACAGGATGTGGTCGAACCTCTCCTTGAGCACCTCCGTGGTCTCGGGGATGCCCCCATTGATCACCGGGTACAGATCCTACCGGGCGGGAGGCAGGCGGGGCTCAGAAAGGACCCCAAACCCACCCCACACCCCACCGCTGCCGGGGCAGCCACCGCCCCCCACACACATCGCTCAGGGCTCTGCCCCCCAGTGGCCGAGGCCAGTGGTCCCACCACCACCAGGGCTGGGCCTCTGGCCACGAGCAGTGGCCACCTCTCACTCCCAAGGCCTGGCCCCGCTCAGCTCCCTGGGCCGCACCTTGTCCAGGTACTGCGGGATGAGGGAAGCCAGCAGGCTCGCCATGTTCTCGCTCAGCTCCGAGGGCTTAATGACCACTGCATTCCCTGCAGAGCACACAGGGTCAGCACTCTCCCCGCCAGCCCGCCCCAGGGACCCAGCCTGCTGCCTCCCTCCCCCATCCCGTGTCCCAGGAAGGGTGGACAGCAGCGCTGCGGGCACCGGCCACAGGATCTGTGTCGCCCGCCTCGCAGTGGATGAGGTGTGGGACAGAGGGAACGAGAGGAGAGGTGCTTGGCCCAAGCAGTGCGCCGACTGGAAAGGAAAGCCTGGCACAGCTCAGCGAGAGCTGCCAGCGCCGCAGTGAGTAGGGGAGGGGTGGGGGGGGCTGCCGGACAGGGAGCCCGGGGGGGCCTGGAGGCCGGGAGGCCTGCTCCCCGCAGTCCCAGGGGAAGACAGACCCTTCACGCTGCTGGCCCCGCGCCTCTTCTCCAGGCCTGAGCCCGGCCGCCCAGGGAGGAGCAGTGACCCTCCCTCCTCCTCCCCCTCCTCCCCCTCCTCCCCACGCTGCTGGCACCTGCAGCGATGGCGCCCACCATGGGCTGCACGGTGAGGTCGAAGGGGTAGTTCCAGGTGCCGATGATGAGGACCACGCCCAGCGGCTCCGAGTGGATGTAGCACTCATCCTGCTGCGTCTGGGCCGTCTTCTCCGCGGGCTCGTCCAGAACCCACTCGGGGAGCTTCTTGATTATGTACTCGATCTCCTCCAGGCAGTAAACCACCTCCTCGTGGTAGGAGTTCCACTCGTTCTGCGGGGAAAGGCTCCCGTGAGCGCCCAGCCCAGAGCGCTGAGCGGGTTACCGGGCGCCGTGGGTCCTGGCTCCGGCTCCCGAGCTTTGTGACCCTGACCGACCTGTTACCCTTTCCTAACCGCAGTCTCCCAATCTGCAAAATAGGAGCATGATCTGTACTCCTAGCCGGCCTGTTCAACTTGCGGGGAGATGGGGGCCATTCACCACCCGGCTGGGGGGAGCCAGGGAGCGGTGGGTCTGCGAGAGCCCTTCTGCAGGTGTGGGCACAGGTGTGCCTGAAGGGGGGTACC